GTGCTATGCATGTTATTCTTCCCTTTGTTCCCTTGTTTCGTCTTCGTTTGCTCTAGAAGTACTGCAACAAGGGATGGCATGAGCATTCTCGTTATGGTCAGTTGTTCCTTTTCGCCTCCTGGAAGTTGCCATTGATGTGGAAGGTCCTTCTGAGACTCGTTCCCAGCCATTAGTTAACTGATCTACTGGGCTGCTGGAATGTTCTCTCGTATTACTGTCATTTCCACCGTTCTGGCATCGTTGGCTTCTTTTTCTGCTTCCACCGTTCTGGCGTCGTACCATTACGATTGTCGTCGCAACAGCTCGCATTGATATTTCGTCCATTCACTTTCATCTTCGCATCATAACATCGCCATACCAGACAGAAATGGAGCAGAAAAAAGAATAGAAACAAATTACTAGAAAATGTTATGTTCGTCCAACAACAGGCACAATCTTTCGTCCACAATAATCTCAAATTTGGGTAATTAAAAGAGTTTATAGATATATCACATTTACAGATAGATCAGACTTATCAAATCTATTAATTCTTTCAAAAAAACAAATACAAGAATTAATATTGGTTGACATTTGCCATGCAATACTTCGTTTTGATTCTGTTCTTTAATTGGTAGATATAATTATACTTAAATGCAAGTTGCTTTCTAAATTTTGCCTACAGAAATTGGAGGGAAATGTTGGATTTACAAAACAGGTCTCTGTTTGCATTAATGGCCACATTTGTCTTAGATATCGTAATGTATCAATTATTTATTTACGATCAAGGTTACAGCTAAAATAAATATTGAATACGTGAAGTCTCGACATAACACTCCGATTACAAAATAAAAATTAAAACTTAATTTGAGGTTTTTTTGAATTTCAGTTATCAACAATCAGTAATGTTCCACAGATAAAGCACTGGTTAAAGTCTTCACTGATAATTCGTAGCAATTTAAATAAAAAGTGTTTCGAACTTCTTGCATATTTATTTACTTTTTGTTTTTAATATCAACATGAATTTCTTCAACACAACTTTGTGTAATGCAAGCATAAAGCAGCATCGTATTTGTTTACGGTAATTACTACAAATGTTTTCTTCTTATATTTATTCTTTTGAATTTGACCTATCAGATAATAACTTTGGTGTCAAATCATGCGGTGATAATGCTGGAACCATATCTCCAATACTTGATTGCTTTTCTGAAAGAATATTAGTCATCTTATGAAAATTTTATAATTAAATTACTTTGATTAGTCGTCATCAGGTTCAGCCAACTAACATTGTGTCAGTGGTAGACTTTTCACGATATATATTTTCTTCAGCACAGTTATTTTTAGAATGAAAATCATCTTAAGCAGTGTAGGTGAAGCTTAATTTTATCATAATAATTATTATGGTCATATTATTTTTTTTGGCTTTTTTTGTACATTAATTTTAAGGTTGTTTGTTTTTTTAGGTAGTCGTACATATAAGTTTAGTTTAAAGTGTAGAGATAGTCGCATAGTGGAGACTTTTTTACAATTTTTGGTTATTAATTTTTTAATTTTAACGGCTGGTCCAGGGTTTTGACTAGTTCAGTACCAGGGCGAGTTTATCAACAACCTGAATTAAATTTAAAAGGGACTAGTCATCAATGATATTGAAATTATGAGTATGGTGATAGGCAGGAATTAAGTTTTGATTCTTTTATAAAGCCTTTGGAAGATTTGCGAGCATGTGAATTTCGTTTATTAGAAGTTGATAATCGTTGTGTTTTGCCTGCTGGAGTAGATGTGGGGGTTTATTGCACTTCGGGAGATGTTATTCAATCTTTTTGCTTGCCTAAGTGTTTTATTAAGATAGATGCTAACAAAACAATGGGTTCAAAAATGTAATTAAATTTACGGATGCAAAGGTCATCAGCGTTTGGCGCATTTGTTTCCATTTCACGTTCTGCTCGGCGAACTGCTTCATACACGCCTGCGTAATGCTTCTGTACTGCCTGAAATTTTTGTCTGTTGTTTCTTCTACATTTTGCATTTATGAAAAATGGCTCACTTTTGTGTAAACTGACAGCATTTATGTTAACTTTTCATTCAATTTAGTTAGCACAATTATTTAGAGTAAAACTTGTCAATTTTAACAACTTTGCATTTTTTCATTGAAACGTATAAGCCTTTCTGCGCATATATAATTTTTTAGCTTTGTATTTTCCTTTTTTATGTCAAAAAGAACCTAAATTTTCATACTTTATTAGCTTTTGTGCAGTATTAGAATAAAACAATAATAAAAGCGAACTTTCATTAGCAAAAATTTGACGGTTATTCTTTGGCAAAAATTTAATTCTATTAGATTTCTATCAGGTAAGTAAGTAATCTTGCAGTGAACTAAAATTTGCATATTCATAACCTCCTCAAACTTTATGTGATCTTCATCGGCACTTGTCATAGTTTCATTGAAAACATCACCAATTGATGTTGCTACAGCTTTTTTAAAGGTATTAGCAGCATTACCAGGTGTATCTGGATCAGACTCGTAGAACTCACCGTATTTCCGATTGTAAATCCTAATATAATTGCTTTTTCAGTTATACTTTTATTTGTTCCAGAAAATAATTGATTCTTATGAAAACTGTTAAAGATGATAACGTACTGATACGTGTCGAGAATGTTAGAAATATCCAGAAATGCTTTACGTTCACGTGTCAAAGCACAGCCGTATAATAGAAACCAGTAGTACGCAAAAACGCTTGCAGTTAATGCCATCAAACTACCCGTCATATCATCATATTCATACATTGCATTGCTAGCAAAGCTAAACATACTGAGCGGTTTTTTACGTACACGTTTCCAAGATTACTGTATTTATTCAAGTTATGATTTTTGTTTTCCTAGGTAAATAATAATCTAGTTTAAGATTAACTTTGTCCAGATTTATTTGCATACAGTGAATGATGTTAGGGAGATGTAGTAGTCTGTACATTTTGAATGTGACCAAAGGGGCAGATAATATTTTTAAAACCAAAAAATTACCAGAAAAATCCAACAGTAAGAAGTGTACAAATAGTTGCGTTGAAACGCGTGGAAACTTTAGACGTGTGCTTACTCTTTTCTGTTGATTTCATTTGATATAATTTTGTAGAAAGATTCGATAGCACTTGAAGTTTATGAATGCTAAATTTCAATTTTGTATTTCCATTCCTTAAATTATAAATTAAAAAGTGAATACTACTTGAATATTATATCCAAATATTTCAGAATAAATCAAATAAAAACAAAATATATGAACTGCATGTGCAATGAACAATTCCAACCTTACTTTGACTAGAGAATTCGCAAAATAAATGCACAGCGATGTCTGAAGATTAAAAATGATTGAAACTGACTCAATTTTCACTTATTTATGCAATTTTTTAGTACTTACTAACTAGCCTTTTTATTCAAATATTTTTTGATTGAAATTCAGAGGTTGAGAAGAGTAGACTGACAATACCTAATAAACAGAGGCGATTGATGATCGAACATTCCATAACTTCTTTAGATTTGTATTTTTATCTTCAAAAAACTCTTCAA